TGTTAAATAGGCTCGGATGTCATCCATCCAAGTTGAGCTCCTATCAAGGATTCCAATAGGTTCTTCCTCAATGCTTCGTTTCTCCATAACATCCCAGAATATGGTCCTTGGAGTGTCACAGGAGGCCGAGGATGCCAGTTTAGAGAGGGTGTCCGCCTGGTTATTCTCGGACCTGGGACTTGAGTTAGATGAAATTCCTCAAGTGACCCAACCGCCTGTCTTACCGCCTGTAAATATTTAATCATGGCCGGATGGGTGGCTTCATAATCACCATTGTATTGGCTCACTATCAAGTGTGAGTCTGAACAGGCGGCTATCTTCCTTGCCTTGGCCGCTTTGCACATGCGGATATCGGCCAGCAGAGCTTCATACTCTGCCTCGTTGTTCGAGGCTTGGAAGTTGAATCGTAGTGCATACTCATAACTGTCGCCTTCGGGTGACTGACATATGATGCCTACACCACAACCATTCAAAGTGGAGCTCCCGTCAACATAGACCTTTCATACTTGGTCAGAAATTTGAGAATCAGAAGGCCGAGTCATTTCTACTATGAAGTCAGCAAATGCTTGCCCCTTCACTGCTTTTCTTGACTCGAATGTGATTTCAAGGCTTTGTATTTCTATTTCCCACTTGATCATTCGGCCGGACGACTCCATGGTTGTCAGGGGCCGCTTGATCGGCTGGTCTGTATATACCACGACTGGATGTGCCAAAAAATAGGGCTTCAACTTTCTAACTGCCATGAAGAGGGCAAGACCAAATTTTTCAACCAAGGGGTATCTTAACTTGGCATTCTTCAAGACGTGACTGACAAAATAGACCGGGAGTTGGCAGCCGTCCCTCTCGGCAAGGAGGACGACACTTAGAGCATGGTCAGACACTGCTAGATACATACATAGCACTTCTTTAGGCAAAGGGCTGACCAGCCTTGGTAAGGAGTGCAAATGTTCTTTCAGCTTTTGGAAGGCCACCTCAGCATCCGGCCCCCATTCAAACATAACTTTATTTTTTATTGCCTAAAAGAAGTAAAGGCACTTGTCGCCTGCCCGGCTGAGAAATATTCCCAGGGCCGCCAAACAACCTGTTAATTTCTAAACCTCTCGGACAGTGCGGGGCGACTGCATGTCTATGATCGTCTGTACCTTCTCGGGGTTAGCCTCTATACCCCTTTGATTAATAAGAAATCCGAGAAACTTCCCAGACTCAACTCCAAAAACACACTTCTTGGGATTGAGCATGACATCGTGCCGCTTGAGTGAGGTGAATGTTTCTCGGAGATCGGCCAAATGGTCCGTCTGGAGTTTGGATTTCACAATCATGTCATCTATGTACGCCTCCACATTGGAAGGTTGCCAGGGCGTTCTTCAAACCAAACGGCATGACCGTGTAACAATAGAGGCCCTGATCTGTGACAAAGGTCGTCTTCTCTTGGTCCTTCTTCCACAGGGGAATCTGATGGAAACCAGAGTAGGCGTCCATGAAACACATCAAGGCATGGCCGGCTGTAGAGTCGACTAGACCGTCGATCTTAGGCAATGGATAGCTGTGTTTGGGGCATGCCTTATTTAAATCCGTGTAGTCCACACACATGCGTCAGGTACCATTCGGCTTCTTTACCAAGACAACATTGGCGACCCAGTCAGGGAAATAACATTGCGGAATGAACCCAGCGTCAAGTAACTTTTTAACCTCGGCGGCAGCCGCCTGGCTTCTTTCTTCGCCATGGTTCCTTTTCTTTTGTCTGACCGGCTTCTTTTTAGGATCCACAACCAGCTTATGTACTGCCAGGTCTGGACTTATACCTGGCATCTCATGTACTTCAAATGCAAAGATATCCTTGAATTCCTTCAGGAGTTGGTGAAAATCATCACCAAGCGCAGCAAGAGCAGTCGTTTCGACCTTAACAGTTCGGTCAGGACGTGAGTCGTCCAGGGTGACGTCCACAAGCTCACCAGTCGGCTGAGGGTGGAACTCATCTGACCGCTCCTCGGTCAGTGATTGCTATTATTTTTCCTATCTCTCGGCCTCCAGATGGGTGGCCTTTCTTTTCTTACCGGCTGCTATTGGGGCAGGCTCGGCTCCCTTGACTTGTTCAAGGTCAGTATTCTCTCCACTAGGGCCAGATGCTACCACGGTGGGCTTGATATCAGAGAGATAACATTTTCTGGCCATCTTCTGGTCTCCCCTTAGGGAGCCGACTGTTCCATCATCCTTCTCAAACTTGAGGAGCATGAGAGACGGAATGATAACATCTTTTGAATTGTTCATGGTGGGTCGCCCTAAGATCATGTTGTAGGCCGATAGTTCTTCGACCACCAAAAATCGGACCACCATGTGACGACCATCCCCTTTCTCACCTAGGCGGACAGGTAGATCCACTCGTCCAACTGGGTGGAAGACTCCTCCTCCGAATCCTACTAAAGGATGGGAGACATGGTGCATGCTCTCAGTCTTGTACTTGAGCTTGGTCAAGCATCGATAACTGATGAGGTCAGATGAGCTTCTAGTATCAATAAGTTTTCGACCAACTCTTTGGTTGGCCACCTTGCATTCAATTACAATAGGGTCGTCATGCGGCCCCCTAACATCTCCCAAGTCTTCCTCAGTGATTACAACCTCAGGAAATGAACTTTTGGAGATCCGTCCTTACTCGACGGAGTTAACATCCAGACGCCTGATGTTATCTTTGTTGGCCCAGATAGTAGGGCCACCTCCTGCGAAGCCACCTGCTATGGTATAAATGGGCACTTCGTCAGTGTCAGAGTTGTCGGCTGACTGTTGCTTCCTTTTGGCCGCCTGTTTCTGTTTGGGGGGTGGATTCCCCTTGGACTTCTTAACATAGGAGTCGAGATCTCCTTTGTCTGCCAGGCGGTCTAGAAGGCGCTTGAGGCTGATACATTCATTGGTTTCATGGCCAATGTCCTCATGGTAGTGACAATATTTACTTTAGTTCCGATTGCTGACAGAACCCTTCATGGCGGCCGGCTTCTCAATAGAGAGTCGGTATTTTATTTCATTAAGGATGGCATGGCTATCCTTGTTAAACTCATACTTGGGGGAGTATGATTTAAATTCCTTCTTCTTCTTCTGGGTCGGCTGTTTAGAGGAGTCAGCTGCCCAGACTTCTTTTCTCTATTTCTCTTCTTTATTGGCCGACTGCTAAGTCCCGATCCTTTACAAGATTCTTCCTCTCTGATTGGGAGGGTCTTCTGGCCGACTGTTCCTTTAGTGGAACGGTCGTCCTTTTGTTGATAAGCTCCTGGATCTCCCCCTTGAAACTATTCATGAAGGTCATGAGTTCATTTCTAGTGATGGGGGAAGATCCCTCAGCCACCTGTTGATGATCAAGTGGCTGGCCGGCTGGTTTACTAGATCCAGCCAGGTAGTCCTCCCGTTCCCTCCTTTCAATGGGACGGGTGCGTCGAGCTCTTAAGGTCCCGTCAGAGGCCGTATGAGTCTCAACTTCAATCTCATTATCAGTATCCTGGTCCGTCTGAACCAGGGGATCGTCCATGGGACGCTTGTCACTTAGAACCGGTACAGACTGTGATTTCATCTCGAAAGTACTCTCCCCATAGACGGCGCCAAAATGTTTTGGGGTTTTTTTAGGTCCTGCGGGAGAGTTACAATTCCGAGACTGGTATCCTTGCACTTGTACCTGCAAACCCACGGAGACTCCGGGTGGTGGGAGCTCCGCCTCCGACGATCAAGTTAGTACTTGTATGTGGAGTAAAAAGGTGCAGAAAGTAAAGAGGGTGATCTGGTTCCTCGAAGGGGAGGAGTGATCAGGGAGTGCAAATAATGCTAAGTCTGGTCTAGCGATTAAAGTGCACTTGTGTTTAGGCTTCTCTTGGTGGGAGTAATTAATTATGAATAAGTTAAATGGAGGCTTAATTACTGTATTTATAGCCTCAAAGTGTGTGCCTAATACTAGGTTTTAGGTAAACCTAGGACTGACCGGGCCTTGCCTCGGAAATCGGGCCTTGGTGGCCATTTTCCAGGTTGGCGTGTCATGAGCCACGTGGAGTGGCATGATTGTTCCATGCTGGACTGATTACTGCCTGACACGTGGCAGGCCCTGGCTGGTCCATGTGGCGGACACATGGCAGGACCTGATTGGTCCATGTGGCAGACTATGATTGGGCGGGGAAAATACCCTAATCATTAATAATCAACCAACGTAGATTAAATATGCTTAGGATTAATTTATTGAATGTATGTTGATCGAAAAACGCACATGAATATCATAAGAATTAAGTAGAGGCCGATTTAAGGCGGGTTCAATCTCTTTTAGGCTTGAATATCCAGTCATGGTTCTGGACCACTATAGAGTTAGTGATCTCCGTGATCGTGAAGGGGGTGTAACTTTCACACCTGTGAATGGTTTACAAGTTCCTAAAACTTGTTGGCGACTCTTTTATCTCTAGCTTCCTTCCCTTTGGATGCCACCATGCTTAAAAACATGATTACTGTGGGGCTCAAAGTTAAGTTTGAAAAATTCCCTACACCACCAAACTTTTAAAATTTTTATTTTACCACCAACTAAAAATTTAAAAATTGTTTTTCACCACATGCCATCAAAATAACCGTTAAATCTAACGGTTTTATACAAAATTATTTGAGGTTCTTGCCAATAGGGCCAAATTGGCATGAATATAAAATAATTGTATTTGATAATTGCATTTACGATAATTTTGTTGTCAATTCTGACAACAAATCGAACCCAAAGAGCCAAATTGACCCAAAAACATTAAAGAACATGTTTTTGGCACGAAAATCAAAGAATTTTTTAAAATTCCGTTGGATATTATGGTTATTTTGACAGCAGGTGGTGAAAAACAATTTTTAGATTTTAGTTGGTGATAAAATAAAACTTTTAAAAGTTTGGTGGTAAAAAACAATTTCGAGTTTTTTTTTCATGGTAAAAGTCGAAGAAGCCTTAAAAGTATTTTTGCTAAAATTAAATACTGTTTTCTATTATATTTTTCTCTTTAAGGTTACTAATTTTTATTGAATTGACATTAAATTTTAATTATTATTTTATTAAGGTTAAGTAAAAAGGGCTTTAATTCCAAATCGACTGTAAAACAAATCATAAATCCTACTGTAGTTCGAAATCCACAGTATAAAAACCAAAACCCACCTCTTCCAAAAAAACAAGAAAACCAAAAACCCAAGCCTACAAAAATACTCGAGTAAACACACAAACAAGTACATCAACAATCAAACCAAAACCCCATAATTGTTGTTGCAATGAAATTAGCCGGCTTAAAATCCTTAGAATCAGCACACGACGACTCAATATGGGCGGCAACATGGGTTCCGGCGACCGAAACCCGCCCTTCTCTCCTCCTAACAGGCTCCCTTGACGAGACTGTTCGCCTTTGGAAGGCTGACGATGATGTTATATTAGACCGCACTAATACCGGCCACAGCCTCGGCGTCGTCTCTGTTGCTGCTCATCCTTCCGGAGTTATCGCCGCTTCGGCTTCCCTCGATAGCTTTGTTAGGGTTTTTGATGTTGATTCTAATGCTACTGTTGCTACCCTTGAGGCTCCACCTTCTGAATCTTGGCAAATGCAGTTCCACCCTAAGGTATAACACTTTAACTTTTTTTAAGTATCCAGATTAGTAATTTGACTTAATTTGTCTTTTTGTGATGAATGTTTTTGAGTGTTGACTGTTGAGTGCATTGATTTGAGATATTTAAGTTAAATTGCGGATGTCAACTAGTTTAGTTGGTTAACATATTTGGATATGGTAATACTGGGTATTGAATTAGTTATCGGTTCACTGACTATCCCAATTCCAAATATATATGAGCTAATTTTTGGAGAATTTTCGAACTCTAATGTTTGACTGTTACAATGTGTAGTCATTGTAGTGAGTGTGTATAACACTATAACTTTTATTTTATTTTAGTACCCAGATAAGTAATTTTACTTAATATATGTTTCTGAGCGTTGAATGCATTGATTTGAGATATTTAAGTTAAATTTAACGTGTTAGGATGTGGTATCAAGACCCGATATTGAATTAGTCATCAGTTTGCTGATGCTGACTATCTTAATTTCAAATAAGTATGAGCTGATTTTTGAGAATTTTCAGACTCAAATGTTTGACTGTTATAATGTGTAGTCACTGTAGTGAGTGTGTATATGAATTGTTTTTCGGATGGTTCTTAGCATTGTTGTCAATTTTTTGCTGGGTATTGTCCAGTGCTTAGATGAGCCGTTGTTTGACCTTTCCCGTTGTTCGAGCTACTTCGCAACCTCGCCTTCAAGGATAGAAGCTAGAAGCAAATAGCAGCCATAGGGATAGGTATTCAATCGCTTGCTTTAAAAGAGATTGCTCGCAGTGCACTAAGGTTGACATGTAGGGATAGGCCAGCAAATGCAATGAGAAAGTCTTCTTCTTTTCTTGCTTGTAAGGGCTTCCCTTTTCTTGTGGATGAATTTCTCAGATACATATTTCCTTTTTGGTACGTAAATGGCTATTTGACATAATGAAGTTAAATTTGAAGAAATCTATGTTTGAAATTTGTTTTATGTGTTTTTCTACTCATCTTAGGGTTTGTGCTGTGTATTTCATTGCTAGGAAAGTCCATATCTGCACCAATGCAGCATCTTGTGTATGCACGACAAAAACTTTAGTATTGCTTTCATCTCTATAGTTGGACATCAGGATGTATTTTTTTGTAATGGACTAATGGTTATCCAGCTAATTCAATAAATACTTTAGCAAATCCAACATTTCTAAAAAATTTGAGTAATGTAGGAATTGAGTAAGTTTGATTACAAGGCATGCCAGATTCTTACCTTTTTGGATGCTCTGGTTGTGTTTCGTATTAAGGAAGGACTTATAATGAAATATGAGTTGGTAGCATAAAAAATCTTATCATCAATCATATACTTTTACAAGTATCAGAAGTTCATGTGGACTGTGCAGTAAATGTTTTCTGCAGCATGTAGTAAATTATACAAGGCCAAATAAAGATGTACCCTATTGTCTGCACCGATCATATGATTTCTTTTTTCTGTTAAAAAAAAAAAAAAAGAAACTGGAATGGAAGTTTTCATTTTATGGTAATTGGTTAGCTCCTATGTATATCTACATCAGGTCTGTGGTCACTGGTCTGCCTTACCAGAAAGGTGCAACATGGTTTTTCCCTTTTAAATTCATTGCCAAAGCAGGATTAGTTAAGTGCTTGCCCTTCTTGGTGGCTTTGAGTTGTGAGCCTGTACTAGGGTTTATGTAATTGTGTTTTTATGCTCATGTGGTTCTGTACTCTGGAGATGCATTAGTAGCATATCTTGATCAAACAATTTCCATATATTATGATTTTTTGTAACAGCAATTTTTACCTATTTTGCATATACATACATTTTTTGTAAGTGAAGTTGTTGCCATGTTTTGTGCTTGCAATTGCTTATTCACGTATATTTGTGGTTACTGTGCTAGAATATATGATCATCCTGTCATGTTACAACATTGAGTCGTTTGGCTGTATATCAGTCTATGCCATTTCATGTCCAGGACTGTTTATTGTTGGTCTTTGAAAAAATCTTTTTCTGATATTGATATTCATGGAAATTTTGGGGTCCTTGCTGATTCATATGGGATTCCACGTGCCTCTGTTCCTGGCTCTCCTGTAGCCTTTTTGCTTGGAACCACAGCACTCATGACTTGATGCTTTGAGCACATTGGCAAGTTATGTGCAATAGAAAATTTCATAGGATGTTTTACTCCACAACAGATTCTCCTGTTGTAGAATCTGTTGTTTACCTGCATGTTCTGTTTTCTTCTTGATGACAATTGTAGCCTTATCACCATAATAGGGTCAATACAACTGGAATGACCATCTCACTCCCTCTACCTTTCCTCGTTGCAGATTTTTTTTAAGGAGTACTCTTTTGACTTCTATTTGTTGGAGTGACACACAGCAACACACTACTATATAAATTTGGGTTTTTATCCATTTTGGGTGCTCCTTGCTCATTTATGATTTTTTGTTGCCCTTACATGAACTTTTAATGCTATCTTATCTATGTAAATAGTATCAAATTTCTGGAACTATTTTGCATGACTTCTAAAGTGCTACATAACCCTTCCATTTCTTGGGGATACTAAATTTGGAGTAATTGCTTTTCATATGAAGGCAAGACAGTAGTGCTCATTCTGGAGCCTTACTGCTTTAAGTTTTGGCTGCACTTTCTTTTGTATAGATTGCATGAAATCAATCTGTATCTTTTGCAGACTTCCTTGCCTTGTCTTTTTTCATTTTCTTATGTTAGGAAGGCTCATATCAAAGTTTTGCGTGGCCCTTATTTCTGACTATGAACCTCTTTCCAGTTTCCCTTTTTTTTTCCCCTCGTTTATATGAACCCCTTTTTCTTCATATATACTTCCTCCGTTCTTTTTTACTTGACCTGCTTTGACTTTTACACTATTCATGATCTCTCCTTTGACTGTCTTTTGTGAATAATATGTTATGAAAATTATATTCACGTGGGATCTTTTTGAATTCGTCTAAATAAGTACTATCATAATATATAACTTTTATAATTTTTACTTATGGAGAATTAAAGTTATTGATCGTTAAAGTTTTGCATTGGCAAACGTGATAAAAGAAAGAGGAAGTATTTCCCATCTTGGATTCCCTTTTAGGTGGTCAGCCAATTTAAATCACTTGAATGATATAACTTCTGTGATTAGTTGAATTCACAGTTTTCCTGGGGTATTTATTTAAGTTGGACCTCGGACTGCAATTACTTGGGCAATGTCATCATACTGGTTAACAATCTCTTTACAGCACATATTGTGTTAGTCTGGTCTGTCTCTGATGTGCTGGTTTACTTATATTCTAAATTCATTACTTAATGTTAATCTGAATCACCACTGCATAATTTACTATGAGTAACTCTTAATACGTGGAAAAGTGGTCAATGTGCCTTGTTAAAAGAAACAAGGGTATCAAACAACTTGAAATCTGTTCTCAACTTCTGAAGTTTATATTAATCTTATGCATCTTTTGTCAGGGTACTATGCTTGCAGTTGCTGGAGGAAGCAGCACTTCAATCAAGGTTTGGGACACCACCACATGGCAACTTGCTGCATCACTACAAATCCCCCGTCCTGAAAGTAGTAAACCAAACGATAAAATTGCCACCAAGAAGTTTGTCCTCTCGGTTGCTTGGTCTCCTGATGGGAGACGTTTGGCTTGTGGCTCAATGGATGGAACAATCTCTGTTTTTGATGTTGCACGCGCTAAGTTCTTACACCACCTTGAGGGCCACCTCATGCCTGTTCGATCCCTTATCTACTATCCCAATGACCCTAGAGTTCTCTTTTCGGGATCTGACGATGCCCATATACACATGTATGATGCCGAAGGAAAGAGCTTAATTGGGTCAATGTCGGGTCACTCAAGCTGGGTTCTGAGTATTGATGCAAGCCCAGATGGTGGTGCCATTGCAAGTGGATCAAGTGATAAAACGGTGAAGCTTTGGGATCTCAGCATGCGGGCAGCTGTTCAGAGCATGACCAACCACTCTGACATGGTATGGGGAGTAGCATTTCGGCCACCTGGTGGGGCTGGTGTCCGGGCTGGTCGACTGGCCAGTGTGTCGGATGACAAAACTATTTCACTGTATGATTATTCTTAGTTTTTATGCTTGTAGCAATGACAATTCGGATTTTTGGTTTAGGATTTTCTGACCTGACAGCCTTCTGGCAGTGTTCATCAAATGTATCGACCAACATGTTTATTAGAGCTGGATTTGAAAATTATTTCTGGGTTTATTGTGTTGTATTTTGCTTTGCATATTTAAAGTTGTAATATGGTTCAGTGCGGCCTTGTTTTACGTTGTGTCCCATTGCAACAATGTCTGATAGGTTGTACTGTTCAAATCCTTATATTGGAAAACTTCATAGTGACATACCTCTTGTGTTTAAATTGAGAGAGATTTTTGGTCAAACTGTTGCAATATTAATGGAACGGAGGAAGTGTTTTACAAAATTTACAATCACAATAATATCCTCACTAAGATAAAAAAAACCCTACCCAAAAGAAGCATTCTTTACAAAGCTAAATTTGTAATGTGTCTTAGATAATAAAGAGGAAAAAAACATCTATAACGAAGGGTAATTCGTCAAGGTGATCCAATATTCTTTTTTTATTTTTATTTTTTTTTTTCTCATTGTTATAGATGTTTTTTTCCTCTTTATTATCTAAAGCTGGTTGAGAATTTAATTTATGATTTATGATGTGAAAATTTGTAATGGGACACTAGAGTGACTTATTTTTTGGCGAAGAATAGCTTTTTTTTTTTTTTTTTTTTTTTTTGCTAAATCCAATATTAGAGAATGCTTTGTGATAGCTGACATAATCAGCAAGTATGAAAGAGAGTCTAGGCAAAGTCATTTTTAGCAATGGTGTGGATCAGACTCGAAGACAAGAAATAGTGGACATTTTGGGAGTAAAAGATGTAGAAAGACATCTAAAATATTTAGGGTTGCCTAAAATCATGGAAATAGAAAATAAATATCATCTTTGCTAGCCTACAAGAGAGAATTTGGAGAAAGATACGAGGGTGGCAAGAGAAACTACTCACTATGAGTGGAATGGGCTTTTCGAATCTCAAATTTGTCACGTACTTCACCTTATTTTTACTGAACTGAACTTATTTTTACTGAATTGTAATTATTTTTGCTGAACTTAAATTAATTTTATTGAACTGCAATTATTTTTACTAAACTGAAATTAATTTTATTGAACTGAAATTATTTTTACTGAACTGAAATTATTTTTACCGAACTGAAATTAATTTTACTGAATTGAACTTATTTTTATTAAATTGAAATTATTTTTACTGAATATTATTTATTCAGGGCCTTAATGTGTCGTCTCTACAGCGATCAAATCTTGTTTTTACACTATTATTAAAGCTCACTGATTTGAGAATAGCTCAATGTTAGAGGCATATTGAGGCTATAATCCAAGCTATTCATGGTGAAGTTTATAGGGTTTGAAGTTTCTATTGACTGACGGTTTAATAAGATGGAGTGTTGGTAATGGCACAAATATCTGTGTGTGGTTGGATGCATGGTTACATGGGGCTGCCAATAATGCTGCCTCGTCTCAAGGCTCTAATTTTGACCCTGAACAACTACGAGTGGCATACTTACTTAATGTTGAGAATAGTGAATGGAAGGCTGACTTGGTCAGTGATCTCTAAGCTTTCCCTCTCCATTTCCCCTTCACAAGAAAAGATATTATGGTGGCATGTGAAGAATGGCAAATGTAGTGTGAAATCAAAATATTGGTCGGGCCATTTTAATAGAGAGTTTCATGAGAATTGGAAAAAGGAATACGAGGCTTGGTGCGAAACTAAGTTGTTTCACATGGCAAGCTTATAAGGGGAGCATGGGGGTAAAACAAGAGCTGTTTAGGCGCCATATTGTTGCTGATGATTTATGTGGATGTCGTGACGTGAATGTGGAGTCTTATCTATTAATCATGTACTTTTTTTATTATGTCAAGGCATCATAGGTTTAGGCAAGCAACTACTTCAAGTCTATGATTAATGAAGCCTCTGCCACTTCATTTATGGAGAAGATGCTATGGTTTGATAGCAAGTTGGATAATGAAGCAAGAATTGCAAACGTGTTAGCACTTGTGTGGTCAAATTGGTATTGCAGAAACAAGTTTATTCATCATGAGCAGATCTCCTTAAATGTGATATATACAAATACAACAGTGTGCTTCTCAAAGTTGGTCGAGGACTATGGATTATATACGAATCTTCAATAAGATTGTGAGTCTTGCTGAACCTTTAGCTGCAACATGGCACGCAGTGTCCACTTTCTAGGGTAATAGAGATAAACGTCGTCAATGCAAACATTACTAATTCATGCGCTAGTTTAGGTGTGGTGGCTCGTGATAAAAAAGACTCTTTGTTATAATTTACAACTAAAACGATGGAGGGTAAGTTGGCCGTTGAGGTGGCAGAAGCGCAAAAGTGAGATTTGACTTGTAGCAAGCTCAAAGATGGGGGCAACAAGAGTGTTTGGATTATGGGAGATGTAACCAATGTCATGCATGTGATTAATAGCAAGTGCTTGATTTCCCTTGTAAACTAGCAAAGTTTTTTTTTTTTTTTTTTTTTTTTTTTTTTTTTTGGAGAATTCCCATGCAAATATCTTGCCAAGTAGATTCTATACTTCACTGAACATTACTCAAGGTCCAGTTTGTTCACATTTGATAATGTAGCAACATTCTTTCAAATCCTTGTGAGACGTTGAAGTAATGGAATCCTCTTTAGCTTTTGGAGTCAATTGTCTATGCCAAACACAATAGCTCCTTTCTTTGTCGATTTCAACAAGTAAGACTGCTTGTCTTAGAACGATTCCAAATCGATCAACTATCAAGAGTTTATCTAATAGAGCCTTGAGTAAATAGTTCATGACTTGAACTTTTGAGTTTTCATGTCAGGGAAATGTTTGTTTATAATCAAGCATTCTTAACTCATGGGTTAGATAACCATGCCATTCAAATAAAACCCGCAACTATTGCTCTTTTATTGAATGTGAGTCTTTCCGTGTGTAAACGGATCGTTTGCTGATTATGGAACACAATAACCATTATTCGTTCCAGCCTTGGCTTAAAAGGACCTTAAACAAAATAAATGACCTTACAACTGATGTAGCACTACTTGCTTCGTTCTAAGCTTGTAAGTCAATAACTTAGCTTGTCTTCAACGGTTTGATGTCACTTACAAAGTGGAACACTCAAGCAATATCCAATACTTGTGAAGATAACGAATTGCTAAGTTGACCGTAATGACATGAACTCATGGGTAGAGAAGGAATCTTATTCCTTTCCTTTGTTCCTTGTTTCCTTTATTTCTTATCATAAACCATCTCATAACTTTAAGAACATTTCTTTAAGTTCCTTGACTTATACACTTTGTTAGGCATAATTAAGCATCTAATGCGCCGTTAAACAAAGTTCCATCTTTTCCTTCAATTCGTACTTGAATTGTGAGTCCTGCTCATTTGTGTATGAAGCGAAAAGATATGTTGGTTGTCAACCATTGACAATTTGAGTTTTTCAACTCAATATTTCATGTTCATCAAAAACTACCCAGTATTTTGAATACATGATTTCCAACCGTCCTTTCGGACTTTAGTCATAAAAGTCAATCGTGGGAGGTTATATTTTAGAAATGCCTTTCCATTCTTTGAGAACCATTCTCAAAAGATTTCCTTTACCAATCATTGGAAAAACAATATATAATTTGATTTAGAATTCTACAAATATAAGTGCAAAGTATAACCATTTATCAAGTTCATAACATAATAAGTTTGAAATTCAAAGCATGCATGCAAACTTTCAATCTTATTACGCGTCTTATCCACGCATTAAAATTTGTCCCTTTTTGGGCGAGAATAAAACGATTCCAAGATCCCAAAAATCAGAAAGTGATTAAGCATGCTTTGGCTTGTCTTAACACTTAATATTTTAGGGTAAGCAATCCAATTTCTAGTAGCTCTAAGCCACTCTTGGTTTGATAAAACGTCGCATCTAATGCATCCTTGACCATTTATCTCTTTTGCCACGACATCTAAGGACTCCTTTTTGATATCGTTGAGCTTAACCAAGACCAACTCGTATACCTAGTATACCTTACGTTCCTAGGGAAGTAGTGATGTCTCGCTTTGGCGTAGCCCATCACGTACGCGCATTAGTTCGGTAAGTGTTGTTCTTGGAACGACAAATTTTAGCTCAATATTTTAAGGGACCTAGGGTTTCTATGTTGGTTGATTTAAGTGAACTTAACTAATCATCACAACATTTAAAATCCTAGACATGCATCTAACATTCAAATATATATAAGCAAAATAATATATATATATATATATATATATATAGCATAAAATTAGATGCATTTGGCAACTAGTATGACCCCTTGAATTCTTCAAATCTTCAAGGGTCTTCATCTTGGCTTGTCTTCATCAAAACGCCGTCTTGAGACATCTTTGCTAAAATAAAATTACTAGCTACTACGACAAAGATTAATCTAAATATTAAGGTACAAAAAACCTCAACGGTACGCAGACCGTATTTAGATTTAAAAATAAGTAACGGAACGCAGTCCGTATTTTCTATCCTAGTCGGGTCCCACTAGTTGTCATTTTCACGAAACCTGTGAAACAATATATTTTCCATTCATCCATTCACTATATGTGAATGGTCCATGCATTTTACGACGAAAAACAAGTAATAATGCACTGCACGCGAAAACTAGTAACTAACTTAGGTGGTTAATCCGATTAACACGCCTAATTAAAACTAGTCAAAGTTGTTTAACATATTATGTTTATTAAGGCGCAATTTGTTCACGAAAAGTTCATAAGCTCCCACTAAATTCCGCATCCAACTTAATTAATCTAATTAATTAAGCCGGTAAACCCAAATTTTATCAAAATTAAAATTTTTGCAAAAGCCGGAAAAATCGAGGTCTAACCTCGTTAAAATTTTTAAATAAAATTAAAACGGCAAAATTTTGCAAAAGACGATAGCCCAAAATCAAGCAAAACAACCCACCAACAAAATGCGAGGGTTGCGCACCATGGCTGCTAGGCAGCCCCTTGCATTGCGTCTGGTGTTGGCTGCTAGCAAGCTCGCCTAGCACAGCATGCCATGCTCGCTAGCACCAGCAACATGCTACGCATGCTACGCATGCTAGCAGCTCGCTGGCACTGGCACAGTGGGATGGCTGGCTGGGGCTTGCTGCCTCGCTGCCAAGTAGCACGCACAAGCTCTCTAGCAACCTAAGGCCACGCATCCAGCACTACGGCA